ATTTGTAAGGCTTTTTACAGTAACGATGTGTGCAGGCCATTCTCTCCTTGCCATGCTAAATCAGCACTTTAGGGCCTGTCACCACCTCAGTCAGGTTGGCATGCATTTCTTTAGTATGGCTAAAAGAGGGGATTTGGCAGCAATGGAAAGAAAGAAAGAAAGAAAGAAAGAAAGAAAGAAAGAACCTACTGTGAGTGAAGCCTTTTTGATCCTTAATCCTCCATGTCCATTGGTAGTATGGTTTGTTGGACCATGCTTGGGATGGTAAATCAGCAGCACCTGAGCTCTAATTTGCCTGTCACTGACCTGCACTTTGGTCTTGGACAAACTTCTCTTTGTCTTTTTCTCCATATGTAAATGAGAGTAATATAACTTCCCTAGTGCACAAATTTCTTAGTAGGATGAACTAGGTAAAGTTTGGCAGGTGCTTCACAGATCTGAGCCAGTTTGGTGGATGGAGCACTAGATGGGGTACAGGAAACCTGGGCTCTTGGCTTGCTGGGTGACCTTGGGCAAGTCACGTCACTGCTCCATTCCTCAGTTTCCCCATTTGTAAAATGGAGATAATTATACTGACCTCCTTTGTAATGTGCTTTGAGACCTACTAATGAAAAGCATGCTACAAGAGCTAGTTATTAATGAGAGAGAGCTTTGGCAACCAAAGAGGTTTATCTCAGGGTATTGAAACTAGTGCTGTGTGAAATTTATGCTGGTTTCAGATCATACAAACCTCTTCTTCAACCTCACTATGCCCAAATAAATCTATTTGTCTTCAAGGTGCCACCAGACTCCTTGTTGTTTTTGTGGATACAGACTAACACGGCAACCTCCTGATATTTGTACCTTTGAAAATCGCCCTCTATATCTACATGAAGAAGCCCCTAGTGGACTTAGTGGTCCTTCTGCTTTTCTCCCTTTCCATTTCTTACTATTATCTATATGAATTTTTCCATACTACTCCTTATGCCTGCTATTCTGGGTTTTCTTTTTCATAATGAGGGATTGATTTTTAATAATGGAAGACTTAGTCATTTAAGTTGGAAGTAACAAGCTCTTCATATTTCACAACAGATGCTCTGTGAATTGTATGAACTTGTGAATTCCAAAGCTTCTCAAAAGCATTCAGCAGCATTGCTAAAACCTGTAAAGTTTAACTGGATAAAAAGAGAAAATATCCCTGAGTCCTGACATCTATTTGCATTAAACCATGCTTATGTAAAAAATGTGAGGCATCTTCTTTACATTTGTCATAAAAGTTATAGGGTTTCTGTGGTATTGCAAACATAGAGCATCAATTCTATATAGAGCAGGTGACCTAAAGGACTGTATATTAAAAGCCTAGTTCACAAAAAAGATCACAGCACCTGCGGTACACTAATTTCTGCATATTTTTCTGAGCAAATTCTATGTCTTTGCTACTAGTTGACTTGTAGAGAGCATAAGGATAACAGCTTATATAGCACAAGAGACTTAAGTTTGGATTCAATAGCTGCTGCTGGGAGCAGCCTAGAAAGTTCTGAGGCTTTTTTAATCCACTTCTCTTCCCAGTGTGTTCTGTGCTCTGAAGGTCACCATGTATCTGAGCACTGCTCAGTTGTTTTGGAACATTTTCTTAATGAAACAGGTGGCTCATTGTTATGTGCACCTTGTACTGCTCATCTGTATTGTTTATTTTCCTTTAAAAACAATTTAGGAGGTGTCCAGTCAGCTTCTTCTGCTGTTGTTTTGTGGCTGTATTTTGGTGCTGTTGAAAACTCAAGTTCCCTCATTTATGCTTTTCCTTTCTTGTTTCTATTCCTATCCCTTCCTTCTTCTTTTTTTCCAGCAGAGATTCAGATCTCTACTCCCTCTGCAGATTGTCACAAACTGAGAGCTGAACAGTGCATGGACACTGAAGACTCAGCAATGAGAAAACAGATGCCTAGGCAGCCAGTGTAGAACTGTGGTTTGTCTAAAGGACCGACTGAGGCAGGAAGTGCTGCAGCCGCCACAACTCCGGTTTTCACAAACAGTGCTATTGCCTCCTCTGCCTGGGTTGCCATGTGCAGCACTGATGCTTCCATTTTTGCCACAGGGCATGCTCACTGCCACCTCTGCTCCAATTGTCATAGACTGCCTGCCAAGACTGCCTGAATTCTTACTTGTTGCTAGCTGCAGCAAGTACTACAGCAAGTAATCACATAGTTATTGCCACTACCATCCATGCAGCTGCTACAGTGACAAATACCATTGCTACCATGGCTCCTGTTACCCCAAACCATAGAAGGGACCCATCGGAACAAATGCTAGGGTTTGACTGTCAGATTCTTAGATGTGTCACATTTTTCTTTGGAGCTTGGGGCTGTTGTAACAGCTGTTTGTAAACACTACAAATCCAGCATTACACAGGAGAAGGAGAAGAATATTTTTTTTCAACTTCTGGCCCTTCCTCAACCATCTTTAAAAATGTTGCAGATACACTGACACTTCTGCTGCTGATTAAAATAGCAACCGGTATCAGCTTCCAACTAAACAGGCCAATGGGCAGGCTCCATCTCTGACTCCTTCTATGTCAGATGACTCATCAACATGTCTGAGAATGTCCATTAGGCTGCAGACACCAGTAGGAAAACCACAAACAATTAGATAAGTATTTGGGAGCTGAAGGGGCTTTGCTCATATTCACCCTAACGCTTTTTTTTCTTGAAAAAAAAAAGACATTTCAACCCATAGCCTAACCAATTTCAGCATTCGCATGGGATGTGAAAGGTGCTGTAGGATAGACTCTCATCCTCAGACTCTCAAACATCCACTTGCCAATATATAAGAATGAAAAGGAGTCCAAGATGGTGTAATATACAAGCTGAGGAGCTGGAAGTCTTGAATGACCACCTTTGTTGGGCATATTTCCATTTTAAAGGAGACAGCAATTTCCATACTCCTGAAGGGTTTTGGCCTTCAGAAGAATTTCCCTAAAGTGTATCTGAATGGTTGGCTGTATACACAAAGTAGCTCAGAGTGCTTTACATAGCATTAGATATTGGGAAAACTTGCTGCCACAGGCCAGTGTGACAGCTGTGATAACAATACAACTTTGCTCCAGTGAGGTAGGAAGGAGTTATCCTCATTTTATGGATGGGAAATTTATTTGTAGTTCTTTTCCTGGTCTGTCACTGGCTTAATGCTGTGTAATTTAGGAAAGTCACTAAGTCAACATTCCCAGCATTCTGCCAATAGTTTCAAACTGGGGTGCCTAAAGATTGGCATCATAGGAACTCAGCACCTCTGAAATACTATATAGTTGCCTAAATATGGTGTCCCGAGTCTAATGTTATGCACCTACATTTTAAAATATTGGTTCCGAAATCAGAAATTTTGACCTGAGTGATTTGCCTAAGCCATGCAGCATCTAAATCTATAAGAGAACCAGGAAAAGAATCCAGGAGTCTTGATTCAAAGTTCCCTAGTCTAACTCCTAGAACATAAATACTAGATTGTACCCAGTTTTGGATATCATAACCTGTTTCATGTAGAATGGGAATGCTATTTAAATAACTATTTAAACCTGTTACAGCCCCCTGCATACAGTGAATAATTTGAATAGCTAATAACTTGGAGAAAATAGTGGTTCATTAGCGAACAATTCAGCAACAGAATAAAGGATTCATTAAGAATTATTTGCCCAACTCCTCTCTAGTGCTTCTCAATACTAGCGCTTGTCAGTTTCACTCTGCAGCAGGTGACACCAAGAGGTGAGTACTATAATGACACAACAAAGCATGGGTGGTGCTTTTTGTTCTTCAGGAAACATGGGATGGCCTAACTCTTCATATAAAATTTCACAGAGCTTTAGTCCTTCAGACTCCTGATCAGGATGTCTATCGTGAAAAAAAAAATCTCTACATGTGTGCAGCTGTGTCCTTCAGATCAGGCATAAAGCTGAAGTCTTTGGCAGCTATCTAGTTACAAGTAGACCATTGGTAACAGTAGGTCAAACTCATAACCTCAAAGCTAAGTCACCTCTCTGGATGTGCAGTAGCAGCCATGGAGGGGAGTTCGCAGAAGATAGTGCATATTCAATAACTCCCAATAGGATTCACTAATAGTAATTTTCATAGGACAATGACACAGAGAATGCCTGAGATCCTGCTCTCCCCTCTTATCCCTAAAACCCGGTGGAGTCAGTCACATACAGAGACCAGAATCAGATGAGGGATTTCTGTACAGTTCCAAAGAGGAATGGACATTCTATCAGACTCTCCCAGCCCCCTTCCAAGTTCTCCCTCAATCCATGACTGATATAATGGATTTCAGTCCCCTTCGCTTGTGGAAGTGAAGAGGTCCGTGTAGGCCATAATATTTTGACTGTGCTGTGTCCCTCTTCAGGTCACCAAACACCTATTGATTATTCTCACTGTGGCAGTAAAACCAGGTGGCTCAGTCCTGCTCCTAGTGAAGTCAGTTGGAGTTTTGCAATGGTAGTAGGATCAGTCAAATCTCTAATGAAGATGCATATCATGAGTCATGAATCATTCACAGTCTCAATTCAAATGATTACTTTTGTGTCTGTTTTCTTAAATAAAAATTACTACACTCCAAACATGAATCCCACGTGTTGTTATTCTTTTCAACATACAATGTGTCTTCTTTCAATCTTTACAATATCTACAGTAGAATAATCTTATAAACAACACAAATCACAAAATAACAATACTAAAATTAGAGCTAGAGATACTGTGACCACACACATTCCACTTAAACATAACAGAACCCACCTACAGTAACTATTTTTGCTCATCTGATATTGTTAGCAATGAATCTAATCTCTACTCATGCTGTCAAGATTACAGTAGATAAAATAAATACAAAAAATATAGGACTATAGATTTTATGGCTCAGCAACATCACAAGCCCAGTGGCTCAGCACAATCATCACTTTAATGGCTAAATTAACACTTTATTAATCTGAAGGGTTTAACAAAAACTGGCACAGAGTAGGGGGTAACAATGTTGAAGGACATTGTCAACTAGTGTGTCCTCAAAGTTTTGTACCCACGGGAAGAGGATAAGATTTTCTTCTCTGGGAGGGCAGAGAATCTAATAAAAAGGAAATAGTCCTAACATCCTGAGCCTTGGGGAAATTATTCTTGATCTATAAAGAGCCAATTTTAAATCTGGTCATAGTTTTCACACATTGTTTTTCCTTCTAAATCACTTGTTCTCCCCAGTCCAGAAAAAACGATAGGCTTCTTTACAACACTTGCTGTTTCAAAACTTACGTGAACACCCAGTAAGTATTCTTAGCACAAATATATAGTAATAATAAATATGTGATTTGCAGTACATAGCTCTCCTCACCCAAATTATTATGAAACACATTTCAATCTCAGTTACACTTCTATAAATCTGGAGTGGCTTCACTTACTAGTTACTTTAGAGGAGTTACTCCAGGTTTACAGTGGTGCAGCTAAGACAGCTAATAGTAGTAGCAGCCAATAAACATTTAGGAGCAATGAGAATACCTTTGACCTCAGCATAATTGGGCACATCAATGGACCACATCCACCTGTTGTGTAACTCCACTGATTTCATCTGAGTTTTATTGGAGATGAATTTGGGCTAATAGTGAAAAATGTTCTGTAGCTGTTTTTCGCCAGATTGTGCTGGTTCAGTGCAGACTATGAGGGACTACCCTAGAAGGGCACTCAGTGTCTGTAATTAGTAGTGAATACAGCTGCCTGCTAATTATTTTTGCCATTTATTTAAATATACCTGCTGATCAGCCTCCAGGGGTTATTTAAAATAAACAATAAAAACATCAGCCCTTAATATAAAGAGAATAGCTACAACTCCCATAGTTTCAACATGTTCTCTCTGAAAACTATTCAAGCAGTTTACAATTCTATTTGGAGGATCCCATAGGAGAAAAAAATAAGGAAACAATTCTCCCATCATAATAGAGGTGGGTTTCCAGTACGGTAGAGAAGACTTCTTAAATCCAATTCTACAGCTGGGAAAATCACTGCATGAAAGCCAAAATTGTTAGGACTAAGAGAGGTAGTGTTTGTATTGCACAGAGGAAAACCATGGAGAACCAATGAGTGGAAAACAAAGCAAATGTCAGTTATAAAGGCATTCCCATCAGCCTATAAGGTAGCAAGAACCTGGGTTATGAGTACCCTCACAACAGCAAACGTCTCCAGCCTTTGAACTACATAAGCTCCCAGAATGCACCGAAACACCCACACAAACGTTCCTTTCTTAAATTTCCCAAATAGTTCAAACAGCTTGTCTGTCTGCCAGGAAGACAAGGTCCAAATAAACAAAGGGCATGCTGAGCATCTAGAAAATGCAGACACTGGTCCTCAGTTTCAGTCAAGTGCAGACATCTTGACGAAACTGCAGGAATTAATCTGTGATGAGCACATGATTTGGTGGTTGTTTAAAAACTTGCAACCAATTGTAAGTAATTACTTTCAACACTCATGGCTACTATATATATTGGATTGGCATTTTGATGCATTAATATTTCTCAGCAAATCAAAATCTAAATAAGTGAAGTATCCGTAAAGAATATGTAAAAAGGGCTCAGATTCCACCATGGATTTTATGAGCATTTCCCCACATCTCAGAGACCTCTCCTTTACAAGGGTACCTTTCATGTTTAGTGACTCAGAATTTTTCAAGTTGATTCAGCTCACCTTGCAAATTCTCATCAGCTGGAGAAATCAGCCCAGATCAAAAGACCCACGTTTTGGAAAATGTACACTGGAGTCCTAATATGTATCTGGTGGCCCATCCCTATAAGGAAATGAACCAAATCTCAAAACCAGGCACTCTTGAGCTTTAAGATTCAGGTCCTTTCTCTGCAGCTTTCCAGCTCCAACTATTTTCTGATTATGAGATATTCAAGAAATCCCTATTTAAAGTGCAGATTTGAACTTTATTTTATCGTCATTTTATTTATTCATTAATATATCTCTTTTTATTACAAGAAGGAAAGTAAATGCTTTCTCAGTGAAAACAGTCCGCAATATATTTTATAAGCTGATACTAATCTGATCATTTTTTTCTTCCTTTAAAGTTGACAGTGCTTTAGCTTTGATAGTGCCAGGTGGTAATCCAATGTGACTTAGATTTCCTATAGCAATAACTTTTGGCAGATTCACTCCTCAATGAGAGGAAACCATTTCTATTCTTGGCTGCATTTTGTGATAGAGCCATAAATACAGAAAGCCTAACAGACAAGGAATAAAATAAATCTATTATGCAGTATAATGAACCCCATTTTCTGTATTTACTAAAGATAGTTATGGTGAGAAAGAATAGAAAACAAAGACTAAAAAAATAAATAAGGCAGCAGGTATACTCTAAATTCAGTGCACACCAGCTTAAAGCTGATAGAGTATGTGATATTCTACTGCATACCCTACTCTGGGGTCAGAGTATACTTTACCCTCTCTTTTTATACGATTGTTCTGGAAAGCAGAAGAGATTGCAGTCTCAGATTTGTATCCGCGTTGGCAGATCCATTGTGCAGTATACACAAGAGGTAAATCCATCCTTGCTGTAACTCCATTCATTTTAGTAGAGTTCCACTAGAAATGGATATGGCCATTTACTAGTGCTTAGCTACCACAATGATGGGAGCATTGGAAGTATCTGGATAGATGGATAGATAGATCCACTAATGTACTATAGGGGAAAGATTTACATATAAAGACTAACAATCCAGTGATTAGATTAACAGCCTATCATCATACCATATCATAAAATGGATGACAATGACATGCCATGAGAATATTCCATCGTTGAGTAAGGACTAGATGCCAACCGACTGGGGCATACAGGGTCTCCTCCCTCTACTGCTCATGCTGATGCTAGCTACCTGAAAGGGTGCACCAGGAGCTCAGGTCATGACCCTGCCTTTCCTCCACATTAGGCAGTAGGTCTGGCCTGCCTTAAAGGGGAGAGTAAGCTGTACTGCTGATATGCAGACCCTGGATGATTCCTGGGGGTTCTAGCTGCATCATGACTCTGCTGCACCTCCTTCATCATGTCTCTGTGTGATGGTTCTTGGGGCACCCAGAAATGTGAATCACCATGTGACCTCTTGCCACAAGCACATTAGGCTGGTTGGGATCCCGACTTCATAAATGTAAACACACTATTTGTTTACTTTCTAGGTGCAGGATAAAGGGCTGCACGCTAGAGGGAAATACTTAAAAGGGCTTGGGGGTTGGGGTGCACCTATTGTTAACCTGCAAAGCCAAGTAAGGCCTAGCATAGTACAGAGGAGACTGTATGGAAGGCTAACAGGCTGGTGGTAACAAGGTGATTCGCAGACCTGGGTATCCTGAGAACCATCTCACTCTGGGTAACTGAGCCTGTAATTAATAATACTAATATTCTATATTTTGTACAGTGCCATTCATCCAAAATGATCCCAACATGTTTTACCAGCTACATACAGTGCATGCAATACATGCTCTGGAAGGAAAGAAGGAGTGAGATGAACAACTAGTCCACAGTCCCCTGCACTATCATATAGGGAAGGAAAATTGCAACCACAGAAACTGGGGCAAAGAGCCATTCTTATGAAAACCGCCAGGGGATGTGTATATTTATTTGTTTGTTTATTTGGCCTTGTACAATTTGCCTATCCCCCAGGTGGAGGAACAATTCACACATTAAAATCACAAATCACAAAATAATTCAAATTAATCTAATTGTGAGTACAACAACAACTCACCATCTTAATATAACTGACATGCCCCTCACTCAGCTCAGTCCACCCACCCTCTTAAGAAAAGTCTGGGCAAATAGCAAGTAATGTGTCATGACAGTCAACATATTGAGGATCTATCAGCTGAAGGAAGGAAGCTCCCAAATCAGGAGCCTTCCATGGAGAATATGCTGCACCAGCTCCCCAATGAAGAAAGCTAAACTCAAGTGTTCCAGCTGATTTCAGTTGCCAACTTAAAACACGAGGATGGAGGTGGTCTCTACGATCCTTGGGACCCAGACCATGAGTGGTTGTACTATAGATCAAAACAAACACCTTGCACTGTACCCAGAAGTTGGTTAGAAGTGAGTGGATTCTCTGGAGCACAGGTATAATATGCAGCATCTAAGCGGTATGATTACATAAGGACTGGATTGTAACCTCACCAACAATAACAGTAGCAAATTCAGATTTGTGCTCTTCTGGCAGCTATTCTGTGAATAGGAAAAAGGTCTACATTTGTTGAGTGAATTATTTGCTCAGTTCTAATTCTTTCACCCTTTGCCATTCTATTCCCATAGATAGATAGTTATGTTTTCATTTCAATGATAGCTTGCTCCACGCACAGGTTAATAATTTAGGAAAGTGTCGGGGCAAGGGGGTATTGATTGTCAGTATAATCCCCAAACTGGGGAATATTCACATTAAAAGTTTCATATCTGAGGAAGCAGATAAATAATAGTCACTATTTGGTGGTTATTATGTTCATAAAATGGATGGGCTCTGGCCTGGGCCTTATACCTTATCTGTGCAGAGGGAATGTTACAAATGATGCCTGAGGGAGATTAGCTGTGGGCTGACTGAGTCATTATTCAGCAAGGTAGTGGCCTGCCTCTCTCATGCTCATGCAGCATTCTGCTAGGGAAAGTGGCCATGGAGTTTTTTTATAAGAATTAATATACACATTCCATGTATGTTACAGCAAAACCTGCGTCAAAGGCCAGGAACAACACCACAAAGACTATGAAGCAGTGTCAGCCTGCAGAGAACACTGCAGGAAGGGGCAGGTTAGCTCCCACCCCAGAGAAAGCCAGTACGTCAGCTCAGGAGCTATTTTTGTTGCAATTTGGTCTATAAAAATTGCCCAAGGAAACTTCAGCCTATGGTAACTCTGGAAAGATTTTCTTTTGGGGATGGGATGGGCAGGAGTGGACAGATAGGGACAAATAGGCTGAAGTGCTAAGATAGTTTACATATAATGATATTGTGATGTGACATAACATAGATAAAAAGTATGAAGTCTGATGGGTAGGAAAAGGTCAAATGTAAGCTCAACTATTCCAGTACCCCTGAAGACAGTATGAGAATTCTTATCCATATATACGTCTCTGTAATCTTTTCATAGCTGAAATCATAGCCAGAATGAATACCATATCAGTTAGAAAGACATGACCTCTCCTGTTTACATCAAAAGAGAAGCTCTCTAAATGACTTTTTTTTTTTTGTTCATTTTCAAAGTCCTTAGCTGTCATGGAGAGCTACTTGTCAGTTTTGCTGACCCGAGTCTTACACTGATGAGAAGCACTCAGGAGCTAGCTATTTAATCTAAGTTTAGGTCTCTACTTGTACTTTTTACATGCTTTTGCCAGTTTCTAAGGAGACAGGGAAAGAGCAAAGTAAGAACGTTTAAGGACCCCGAATTAGAAGTTAGGATCAGAATGAACTAATTAAATGACTGAATTTGCTCCACACATAGCTCATTAAACACAAATTTTAATTTCATAGTTTTGTTAATGATGCAGCTGATAGGATGTCTGAGTTGGTCTCTATTTTGCTGTGATTTAAAATGTACTGAGATTTCCCACACAGACACACAACCTGCAATATTTTTTTCTCCTTTAAAAATGTTTTTTTAAGATCCTTCCATGCTATGGTTCCTGTTTTATGGCACTAAGCCCAAAGCTCTTTCCTTTTTATTTTACTTGCTCATCAATCTTTGACCAAAACAGCAACAGCAAATGAGAACAGCTTCCTCTATTATAAACTCTGAAGTTGTTTTGTGTAACGAACACTTCAAGCAGCATTCTCATGGCTCAGTCCAGTCCAGTGAGTTACCATGTACCTGCATAAAACAGCTACTGCACCCTAAACTGTTCTCACCCTCCAAATCTGACTTTGCCCATTTTTCTCTAACTGCATGGGGATAACATTGTGTAGCAGAGCTCCAGACTACTTGGGACCTCTAGCCCCCCTGTGCGGATTCCCCATATCCTTCACCCATTGTGCATGATGTAACTGTACCAAATCTTTTTTCTATCAGGGGGTAAGTGCTCAGGGAAGGGTGGACAAGGCTTTGTTCTTCAAGGAATATTTGCATGGCCAAACTGCTTATCCTAATAAAAAACTGTATAGCAGAATGCCTCGAGTTTTTTTTTTAATTGATTGGTGCCTTTCCTTTTCCATGGCCCTTCTGTAAGAGAGAGCTCACTGACAGAAGCATCAGTCTAGCCTTAAGGGCTCAAATTCAAACAAATGCTGCAATAGATTTCTGGATCTCACTCACGCAAGGCAGGCCAGGCCATTTGTCTTCGTAATTTGAAGATGGTTTACATCTCAAGAGGGAAGAAAGAAAATAATATGAGTCTGTGTCGTACTTGTCCTGTTAGTCCTTGCTCACAAACATTTCTTTATAACTCCCAAATGGACCCAGAATGAGCTCAGTAGCAGATCAAGGAAGGTGCGGGGAGACCAGCATTCACGTCAGCTGCCTCTCTCTTGTGATGATGTACTTATCACAGGAACAAAGATCATCTGTAAGGGGATTAACAAGTTATATAGCAGCAGCAAAAAAGTCATAAAAATAGGAGAGAAAAAATAAGATATATTAATAACTTATCATAACCCGAATACATCATATTGTAAAAGGATTGGGTGAAAGCTATTTTGGATTTCACTGCATGCTACTAACACTGGGTGTCATTCCTACTGTGTTTCTTGCTTTCTTCATGAATGGAAGATGAGTATGGTACCAAGAAAAAGCACAAAAGTATAGGAATGGTAAGTCTGTAAGCAGTATGGTCACTAACGTCCACATGTACCTTGCCTGATGAGCTAACACTAATATGAAGAAACCCATTCAGATAAAGGTATATGAATGATGTCACTGTATTGTGACACAATTCACAATATACAGTTGTGACACTGGCTTGTGTAGTGTATGTGTGTGATGAGGGTGTGGAGAGTACAGAGCTACAAGTGGAGCCTAAATGATCTTCATTTCTGTAATGTGAGGTTTGCAGCCCAGAGAATCTGGCTGTTGGCTCTTCACATTCTTTCTTTCCAGCACGTGGGCCTATCATGGAACAAAAGCCACTGGCAGTGCTGCTCAAAGCAACCAGAAAGCTGGTGTCACCAGCTGCCCAGGATTCCCTGTCTATAAAAGGGCTCAGGTGATGTAGTGCCTGTGCAGGAGTGGTACGCAACTACAGCTGGTCAGGAATTTTTTGACGTTTTTCATCAGAAAAATGTCAATTTGTTGAAACTGACACTGATGAATTTCCTGCTTTGAAAACATTTTGGAAATAAAAAGATGTTTTGATAATTTTGAAACTTCTAATGTTTTTTGCAATGAAAAAAGTTCCTTTTTTTCTGTGAAAATTACTTTTTATTTCAAAATTCAACTTAACTGAGAATTAAAAAAAAATTAAAAAATCTAAAGGTCAAAAATAAAATAAAGCTTAAATGTTTCAAAAATTATTATTATTTTGGATTTTCAGTTCATGAAAAATGTGAGATTTTGACTTTTTGTCTCAAGTTGGGACATGAAAATTGTTTTGAAAGATGGAAAATTCTCCTGGGGTAGGAAAACCATTTACCATCCAGCTCTATATCCCATCATCCTTCCAGCTGCAGGAATAGGGGGTGTGTCAAGGAAAAAAGGGGTGAGTTCAGACTGCTGCTGTGTTCTGCTGATTCCTGTCTGCCAGGATTGCCCCTTGAGGCTGTTGCAACCACATGCAATTCAGAGTGAATGGATGGGGTATAAAGGTAGCATTAAGCCATCATCGTCACCTCGATTGTGCCAAAGTCAGAACCAATGCAGCTGAGTATCTGGCCCCATACTCTTTTAAAACTGCCAGATATAGTAGATAATTGAAGCAATGTGTTTGCCCTTTTGCCCAGTTGTCTCATGTACATCTTGAAGTAAATCATTTGAATGAATGTATGTATTTACCATTAAAACTGAAGCATAGGTCCATCAGGAGTGGAACCCAGTTAATCACAATGCTGAATCTTCTTTAGAATAGACTCCAGTAAAAACAAAGTGTAATATCTTTTTCTCATTCCAGGATTTCAATAACGTGATGAGTATATATGAGAAACAAATCAGTCTGATCAGTATTTGTTCTCCTAATGAGATGATCCCATTTAATTAGGAGTGAAACCTTTAACATGAATTAAACTGAAAAGTTATCAATTTTTCACGAGTTTTAAAAGCTCTGAGACTCAGGTTGATAGGTGTAACTGAATATGTCCTGAGATCTTTTATTCAACTGTACCTAAAACATATAGAAAGTTTTTTGATGCCAATAATATAAGTATGGTACTTTCTGTGGTGCATATATCTTGCAGAAATATACTAAAGGGTTTGAGAATGTTTTTCACATTAATATTTATGAAAAGGGCTTTTGGCTCAAAGTCACAAAACAGCATCCAGAATACAAGATGATTTTATAAAAACAAAACCAAGCTTTTTATTTATTTATCTATGAGCAGTTATTTCACTGGGAACCTTTCCTGGCAATTAAATGAAAAAGAAATGGGGAAAATCAATATCAAATTTGTGAAAGAGCATGTGAGTGGTGAAGACAGAACAAAATTTGTGGTTTTTCACTTCTAAACAATGTATGAGTGCATTGTTTTATCCTTATTAAAGAGGCAGGACTGGACCTTAAATTAATTGTCAAAAGGTCTACACTATGAACTGGCATGGTGAAAAGAAAGAATAAATTAACAGGAAGAATTTTCCCAAGATAAGATAAGAAAATTTTCCAATATCAGATCTCTGTTCAACCGTCAAAAACAATTCTAATTTATCCCCTATTAAAAGAGAAAATTGACAAATCAGAAAGTGCAAATGGTGATCACAGCACTCACCACTAAATTCAACCAGCTGGCACCTTAGGTAATTAGTTTAGAAAGCCAAATTAATGGAATATATTGGCACATGATATTTGTAGTGGAAGCTGCTACCTAAGGTACACTTGGAAACTGGTTCATTTTTAGAGCAAAAATCACAGACTACAGTGCATAATTTGTATAAATTAATGTCTGAGCAAATATGTTCATTGCATTGTTACAAAATTCAGACTTAGACGAATGCTGAGACTCAGTTCCATTAACTGCCTGACTATGTTAACAGAACATTAACAACAGAGCTGATAGTAGTAATTATTATTCTTAATCATGTTTATTGCAATAGTGCCTAAGGGCCAGCCAAGAATAGGGGTCTGTTGTGCAAGGCCTGTAGAAGCACATTGTAGCAGACAATCTCTGCCCTGAAGAGCTGACAGTCTACATGGACAAGACAGACACAGTGTGGGGGAAGGGGTAGAGCACACGTGCAGAGTGAACAATGTGATGATGGCAAATGGCATGTTAATGCCTCATTTTTTTAAGTGAATCTACTTAGGAAGGGCTCAGCTAAAGGAAAGAAAAGTGAAGGGAGAGGGGACATTGCAGGGACCAGGTGAGGTGGGCAGAGAGTGATATAAGAGGAGTGATGCTGAGATGAAGAGACTGTGAAGGAGGGAGAGGGTTGGCGCAAACAGCCAATCAGTACAGAGCAGAGAAAGTTCAGTCAAAACTGTCATAAGTTCTATGAATGCCCAGATGTCCCCGCTGTGGCTGCTTCTGCATGGTGTTGATGAACTCACACGGTAATGTACTGATGAGCGTTTCATTCACAAAGAGGATGTAGCTGTAACCTTGTGAAGACAAAATAAACAATTTTATTTCTTTGGCTATAATGAAGCAATGGACCATGGATTTACGTTCTTCTTGAAGCAGCAAGAAGGGTCTGCTGACAAGATATTTTGGAACAACTTGCTACTAGGAAGGAAGTATGAGTGGGTGGGTGAGAAGTAGCTCATGCTCATATGACACACACTCTTTGTGAATATGTTAGAAGTCCATGATGTAGAACATAAAGGGTATAAACATGTATCTTAGTAGTGTAGGATATACCAGGAGCCCTACTTAAATTTTCTGATTTTATACATGTTTATCTTTGCTTTAGCTGCACTCCTCTAACATATGCCAATAGGGTGGTTCAGTATCCTGTCCATGAACACCGTGAACAATGGGAGAATGACCCACTAAATTATTTGACTGAGTTGGATATCCCATCACATGGTCTATATATTTTTACCTATATTTGCAAATTAGTCAAAATTAGAACTTGAAGAAAAAAGGGGTATATTAGTTGCCATGTCACTGAATGGGAATTTATTAATATAACTATCAATACTGTTTGCTTTGAAAGGAGAATACAACCCCAAATCAAGATGCACCCTAGTGAAACGGATGGAGAGAACATATAGTATTTTCATAACTCCCCAAATTCATTTAAAATACAGTTAATATATTGGATGTTCACTGCTCTGCCTGAATAATATACCATACCCATATTCACACTGGACAAAATTCTGGCCCCACTGAAATCAATGGCAAAATTCCTATTGACTTCAGTGGGGTCAAGATTTCACCCATTGAATAGTACCTGAATCCATAAAAAGCCCTATTTACTTCAGTGGGCATATTTTTGCAGTAAAGCACTATCCATTGTGAATACAAGTATCAGAATATGGCCCATGATTTGGTCAAGAATTAAAATGTCAAAACTATTCAGGTTTTTTTTTTTAATGAAAGAAATTCTCTAAAATTCCTCAGGTTCTCACCTGGCATCAATTAGTCTTTGCATTAATGAAGTTGAAAACTATCTATTCTCCTCTTAACATTAGATACCCACACCCCTCCGTCCCCAAGGAATTTTAAATGTGAGAGTCCATGGTAGTCAAATACTACAGGCATCTGAGACTACGCTAAAGCCAAAGCTTCAAGCACATGCAAAAGCTAAATATAACTTTTGTGAGGGTTTGATAAAATAGGATACATTCCAAAATTAACAGCAAACAACAACAAAAGAACATGCAGAAATAAATCTTTTGTTTCAAAAAGGAAACAATCTGATCAGAAGATACCAGGTCTCATGGGTGATGCTTTTACTAATAGTGCAAACTTGGCTTTTTTTCAGTGGGAAACACTTAGAAAGCCTTGGAAAAGTCTGCCTATTATTGTTCTTTGAGAGGCTTTTAAACAAATGGCGGAGGGGATGGTCTGCTGTTATGAAACATACAGTAAGTGAACTAATGACCCACACCTGTAGGGAACACATAGTATTCACCTGCACTTAGGTTCACCTAGAGTAACAAATGATAAGAACAAAATTGCAACCAACAACATAAAAACAATCCTGGTTCTTCTCCCGTCTCCTCACCAATGCAATAATGTCTCAGTAATGGTGAGATAAAAGGGAATTTTTTAAACCATAGGGAGCTTAAATTCATGTCACAACCATACAGTGTCTGAGTTCAGAGACCTGTTGGTAACCTCTCGGTTCCATTATCTAAAAACTAGGAACTCTAGTTAAAACCTGCAATGTACCTCCCCCTTTTCTCTCACCTTTCCTTGGCCTGGAGTTTAATTGTGTGTGTGTGTGTGTGTGTGTGTGTGTGTGTGTGTGTGTGTGT